ATAATGTACATTTATGTTATTTATATGGAATTGGAGTAACTAAAGATTTATCACTAGCTAATTATTGGTAAGTGACGGCTAAATAAATGTGCGACATGCTTAGATTTGACGTAAGTTTATTATCTTATATTAATAGGAGACGAAATAAATTTTGGTTAAATACTTTTGGTGATGATTTAAAAGAGATATTGAGCGATGGAAATCATGAACTATTATCGATTCCATACAATGAATTCAAAGCGATTGGTAAAGGTGGATTTTCAACAGTTTATAGTGCAGAGTGGTCCCGAGGCGATTTCGTAAAATTAAAAGTTGCCCTTAAATCGCTACATAAAACAAATTATGATGAATTTATAAATGAGGTAATTTTGGTATTATTTAAATTATGCAATTACTGTATATAGCTAATTTATTTATTTAGTTCAAAGCATATATGACTAATTTATTCGATTTATTTGATTAGTTTAAAGCATATAGTAAAATCGGATATGAAAATCCTTCATTTCTAAAATGCTATGGAATAACACAACAGCCGGACTCCAAAGAATATATCCTTGTCTTGAAACATGCATCAAACGGATCTTTACGAGAAAATCTTCGATATGTATCTAAAATGAAATGGGAACATAAATTAAAACTATTAAAAGACATCATTTCTAATCTTGAAGCAATCCATTCTCAAGGTTATGTTCATCGGGATCTTCACAGTGGAAACATTTTACATGACGATTTACATAGCGCGTATATTTCTGATCTGGGACTATCATGTTCTGATTCTGAACAAAAGAAAGGCGGGATTTGTGGAATTCTACCCTATATTGCTCCAGAAATTCTAATTGGTCAACAATATACTACAAAATCAGACATATATTCGTTTGGAATTATAATGTGGGAAATCTTATATGGGATGCCTGTATCTTATAATCATAAATTAAGTGAACAACAACTTCAATTAAAAATATGTTATAATTACTTACGACCACCCATTAACGAAGAAGCTCCACGATGTTATATAAATCTTATGAAAGTATGTTGGGATAAAGAACCTGAAAACCGACCATCAGCCGTAAAACTTAGCGAAATTTTTATGAAATGGCAAAATAACAAAAATATTTCAACAGAATTGAAAAAATCAAAAGTAAATATTGAAACCATCGAAGAATCATATGCAAGCATGTTTAGTGGTGGAAGTAAGTTTATTTCCTTTACTAACTCACTTTTAGGTATTAACAGTGGATTACAAATTTTGAAAATTGATGACATAATTCTTGTCAGTGATTAACTATGATTTAATACGTCTTTTATTTAATGCTATGTTTTATTAAGCCATATAGGATTTTTTCTTTTATATAGTTAAAAAACACACTTACAAATATCTGAAGTTTGTTAACAATAAAAATTTAAATATCTATTTGGTGTTAACGAAATAGTTTTTACTACTGTCTAATGCCCATGCATTATGTAGTTCTAGTTCAGTCAAATTCAAATAATTACTAAACTTATAGGTGTTACACCATCCTTGCAATAAATGTTTCAAAATCCAACGAAAATGCATTATTTGGTTCAATTTGATTTACTTATTAAATGAACCTGATATTTATCTATCTAATTAAATAGAAACACTACTGCTTAATGTCATTGATCTATTTCCAGTTACTTATTTAAAATTTTTCCAATTTACCCAACTTTATACTTAGAGATGTATTTAGTTAGCTGTGGTCGGTTATGTATACATTATTTAGTTCAAGTAGTTGTTATTCAAATAAATGCCCTGATTTTTTTATAAATATAACAGGAAAGTATCATAATAGTTTTAAGCATAAATAGGATATTATTCTTTAATAGCAATCCAGGTAGTTATTACAGCATTTTATAACATTCATCGAAGTTTTTAAAAAATTTAAAATTATTTCAACGGCTAAGAAAAATTTTGACTTTATAATTAGTAAAGTTAAAGCTATTGAATCGTATCATCTAAAATCATAATTCATATAAATATTTACATTATCTTATTCATTGGTTAACTTCATTACTCTTCATTGTTTTTTTCGGCTCCATTACTGTTATCATTCTTGTAAATATAAAAATTTAAATTAAATGCATATTTTATAATAAATATAAAATAAATAGCCGACAATTTTCACGATTGATTCGTTATTGTTTATTCTATGGGCGGTAATAATTCATAGCAGCTTGAACATCTTTACGAAGGGAGTGGTTGACGATTCTTCTACCAGTACAAATTTTCCGTTGACAGTTTTCAAATTTTTTACGAACATTGGATAAACATCGTAAGTTGAATGAAATTCACTAGCTCATATAAAGGAACATTTTATTTTTTATTATATTTTTATTTTTTTAGTGCTATTATGTTTTAAAAGAGAGAAAGATAGAGGCCAAGTTACTATAGCGCTTTGCAAAAAGATGTGACCCCATGATTTTTTGATGATGACAAGGAAAATTTCCGAGATTCTAATTCATTTTTTCGATCAGTTATATTTATGTTTAATATCTACAGAATTTCCGATTTTCATACTTGATTAGAAAACTTGTAAAACCTTTGAAAACTATATAGTATCTTGTCCTTATTAAAACATTCTTATACGTGTTTGTACACTTTTGACAATTAGAAAGTGTGTTGTTTGTATACATATTAAAGTTTTTGCAGGTGTAAGACACAGGAATACTTATGTATAGTCAAACAGAAAACGCTAAATTCAATTGGGCATAATTTCCATTACAATGCTGTGTCATTTATTGGGTTTACAGTTATCTTTACACTTATACATTGTACTCGACATCCTGCTTCTGTAAATTTTGGTAAATTTTTTGATTTTTTTTTATCAAGATATAATTATAAATATTTATAAATACTTCTTTCTATTATTATAAGTTACTAGGACTGAAGTTTAGATAATTTGAAATTCGTCCTGAAATGGCTAACTATTTTCTTTTTTTTTTTTTAAAAATTCAAATCGGTTCTACATCTATTTTAACCATTCATATAATTACGTTATTAACGCCTGCCCATAACATCTTACTATATTTTGCTACTCAAATTTAAACTTTTCTTTTCTTTGTGTCATTTTTTTTTTTTTTAGGGACAAAATTTTAAGCTATAAAAAAGATGATAAATCAGTGATGACGTAAACTGTACAAATATGAAAATTTTTAGTGCAGTCGACAATAATATGGCTGCACAATAAATTGATTTAAATTTTCGAGAAATAAATAAAAGTTCTCTTCCATCTGGCGCTGGTGTGACAAATAAGTACTAACTAATTCACTTTATCCCAAAATTTAATAAAAAATTAGATCTCAGAATTATTAAATTTTATTTAAAAAAAGTAAAAGCTTTCGAATGTATAATTTTAATATATCTTTCTCAATTTTCCTTATTAATTTTAAAATGAAATGATAAAACTTTCTGACATGCAAAACCTTTTATATAATACTAAAATAAATATATAAAATATTATTGCTATGGGTGGCACCCATCTTATTTATATTTACGTTATGGCAGTTTAAACTGTTATGAATATTCGTTACTTTCCTGATAATTTATTTCCATTTCAAAGATCTTTTCACATGAGTTTACAGAGTAAGTTTTATCAGATGAATAAAGTGGAGATGATGTGATGTGATTCAAGGAAGAAGTTTCATCATTTTTAATTAAATGCTCATTAGTGATAGTGATAGGCTGACTTAAATCTCCACCAGAGATAAAATGATTTAAAGTCTTGAAAATTATATTCATTTTTGGACGATTGTCAGGTTCTTTGTCCCAACATTGTTTATAAAGTTCAACATATTCTTCTCTCTATTTCCTTGAGCTATGTGTAATGAAAGAGTAACCATTGATTTAAAGGTTTCAAATGATGGCCTACCACTTGAAAATTCCCAGAGAATTACACCAAAACTATAAATGTCAGATTTCATATTAGGCTTATATTTCTCGTTATCAAAACATTTAGGTTCGATGTATGGCGGCAATCCATAAACATCTAATTTTGAATTTAATGCCATCTTATTAATTTGTTTTGACAGTCCGAAATCAGCAATCTTTGGTTGCCCCTGATGAATTAAAATGTTCTTGGAATGCTAAATTATGAAAAGATTAGTAAATTTTAAAATTCAAATAACGTTATATAAAAGACACATATAATGTTTTTACAAGGTCTCTATGAATGATATTATTCTCATGTAAAAACACAAGACCAAGTGCTGTTCCCTTAGCAATACGTAATTTATCTATCCATTGCAATCTTGTATTCTCGTAAATTTCCTTCGTCAGCATATTGTAAAACCATATTATAGTAACCATTGTTGTCTATTTATTCATATTTAAATAATGAATGCTCTAGAATTAAAATATTTATTATCTCATAAATAATTAATTGTAAATATACCTTTCGTAACTCCATGAAAAGTAATTATATTTTGATGGTTACTAACTCTCTGTAATAATTTAAGTTTTATACATAAATATAAAAAATATTTACAGCGCTTTTCAAATTACTGTGATCAGTGATTTTCATACATCACACCGGGAAAAAAATGCCAATACATGATTGGATAAAAAATATTTTTAGCCAATCACGGATTTGCATTTATTCTAGATTTTTGATTTCCGGTGTGATGTATGAAAATCACTGATCACAGTAATTTGAAGAGCGCTGTAATATTAATTTAATTTAATAATTAAAGCAGAAAAAAATTTTCAGTTATAGATAAAAATAATACCTCGCTAATAAAGTCCTTTATAATACCTTTATCTAAATCTTTATCGAAATTTATACATTTGAGTGCAATTGTTAACTCGCATTCTTCCCATTCGTATTTGTAAACTGTTGCATAGCCTCCTTTACCAATCTCCGCACGGTTTGTAAACTTTTTATATTCAAGAAAATTAATATGTCCGTCAGAAAAAGCTTTTTAAGCCATTCTTCAGAATGAATTGCGTTTTCAGATTGTACAAGAATGTTTTCGAGAGGCATATTTTGTTGTCTATTAGTATTTGGAAAAACAAAGTTCCCTGAGTACATCGAAGTATTTGCATTTTCAGACACTGCAGAAATATTCTCGAAAGGCATGCTTTGTTGTACAATATCATTTAAAGGTCCTGAGTACGTCGAAGCATTTGCATTTTCAAATAATGCATAAATATTTTCAGAAAGCATGTTTTGTTGTACAATATCATTTGAATGTCCTTAGTACGTCGAAGCATTTTCACTTTCAGATAATGTAGAAATGGTTTCTAAATGCATGCTGTCACTATCGTTTGAACTAACTGAGTATGTTGAAGTTTTAGACATTGCCAGTATGCTTTGTTTATTATTAATAGAATTTGTAATATATTCTACAGTTTTTTCTTTTGATAACTCTATAAGCTCAGGCAAAATAATGTTCAATGTCGGACGTTCATCTGGTTCAGATGACCAACATTTTTTGAAGAGATTAACGTAATTTGTGGGCGTACCGGTAATAATTTCTTCTCGTTCATCATTTAAAATTTTCAAGGTTATAGCAAAATCACGAATTCCATTAAATGGAGGGATTCCGCTCGTGAGTTCCCAAAGCAATACACCCAAACTATAGATATCGGATTTCTTATCACGTTTAACTTCTTTCCCAGGTTGAAGATAACATTGTGGTTCAATATATGCAGGTATGCCTTTTACACCAGAGCTTGAAATTGAAATGGAACCATCTAGTTGTTTTGATAAACCAAAATCTGTTATCATGGCCCTGCCATCATTTATCAAAATATTCATTGAATGCTAAATTTTGTGTAAAAAATTCAAAATTAATTCTATATGTAGAAATCAAAATATTGTAAATGCAGTAAAAGAAATGAACTAACTAGATCTCTGAATTATATTTTTATCATGTAAGTGGTTTAATCCAAGTGCAATTTCTGTTGCAATCTGGATGAGTTCGGTCCATAATATTTTATAAATGCTATCCTTTTGTTTTCTTTTTAAATGTTCACGCAGGGTGCCAGAATCGGCATATTGTAGCATCAACATAAAATTATTCGTTTGTTCATATAAATATCAAAAATCACAATTTAAAAAATGATAACATTCAAATATACAGCATATACAGTACTCTAAGCTTATACCTCTCGAAATGCCATGGAATTTTATTTTATTGGGATGATCAACAGTAAAAAGGAGTTTAAGCTACATACATGTAATTAAATAATTATGAATGAATAATACGTATTAAAAAAAGTAAAATAAAAGTAAAATAAAAAACAAATGTAAATATGAATAATTCACATAACCTCTCTTCTAAATTTTTATCATCAAAACTTAGATTATTATTTAGGCTTTTTAAAGCATATATTTGCTCTTCGAATATGGCCGAATATACAATAGCATATCCTCCTCTTCTAATAGGTTTGAGGTCACTACATTGAGAATAATCGAAATATTTTATTTGCAATTTTTTAAATCCGTCTCCAATCTCTTCGAATATTCAATTACTAATATTTAAAATTTAATAAATATTTTGTATAAACTATAAAATACAGTATTTTAAAAAATGAGTGGTAGTTACATGTACTTGTTGTCATGATTTTTTGTTTATGATCAAGAATTTTTTTGTTAAACATTCAATTGCCACGTATGTTATTTAACGTTAAATGAATGTCTTACTTTAATTGTATTCTGTATTACTACGCACCAGATGTTAATTTATAAATAAATTAATTAGTATTTATTTGTCACCAGATGACTAGTCACGCCAACGCCAAATAGAAATGGAAGTCAAAATTTAATAAAAAGTAGAACTCAGAATTATTAAATTTTATTATACTACAAATGTCATTAATTGATGCAATAAAAAAAAAAAGTTAAAGCTTTCGAATGTTTAATTTTAATACATGGAGTCTTTGCCTTGAAAATAACCCTCCAACATTTCTGATCAGGTTAATTCGGACAAAACCAAATCTGTATCTTAGTTCACGTTTATATTCGAATCTCTTTTTGCCTCAAAGTTTTAATTCTATAAACTATTTAACCATAAAGATAAAAGGGTTTACATATAAACATGAACTAATACACGGCTTCGAATTAGCCCGATTGGAAATTTCAGAAGCTGATTTTCAAGTCAAAGACCCAATATATTTTCCATTTAAATTTTTTTTATTAATTTTTAAAAATTAAATGATCCAACTTTCTGACATGCAAAACCTTTGAATGGATTCTAAAATAAAATGGACAAGTTGTTTTTTTTTAGAGGAATTTACAAATAAGAGCCAAAAATGAAAAATATTACAAATAGGGGCCCAAAATACATATAGAGTCCCAAAAATTAAAATTTATTACAAGGGCCTATCTGGTCTCCGAGCTAAGTGCAAGTCATGTAACTTCATTTATTCACTTTCTCTCAAAATCAACCGGTCAAGCAAATTTAGGTCACGTGACTTGTGCAATGTTGTGGACCAATCAAATTCTGAGTTAGGATAACTTGAACCAAATTCTGGTTTATGAACCTGAAGTGAGTTAACCTGAACCTGGAATTTAGCTCAGGCTAACCTGAAGTAGGTTAACTTAAACCAAATTCTGGTTCAATGGGTTAACTTGAATCAGAATTGATTCAAGTTATCCTAATTCGGAATTTGATTGGCCCACATCGTTGCAATAGTCACGTGACCGAAATTTGCTTGACCAGTCGATCTTGAGAGAAAGCGAATAAACATAAGTCATATTACTTGCACTTAGCTTGAATAATAGGCCCTTACTTGTAATAATTTTTAATTTTCAGTCCTATATGTAATTATTTTGATTTTGGGCCCCTATTTATCATCTAATACAAATTTGATCTGTTCATTTTTGGATAGCATGAAACAGTTTAACAATCAACAATTATAAGTAAGTATAAGCTGCCAAAAAATCAACTGTTCTTTGGATGCTTAAGAAGTAACTTGCTATGTATATAACAAAGTGATTGTGTTTTAATGATGCCAACATAACATTTTAATGGCATTGTGTTTTGAGTTTACTTTCTAGAATCTTGTCAACAACATTCGATGCTTCAAAGTTTATATTTCCATGATCTTTTGCTTGATGATAATTTATAGAAAAAGATTTTGAATTGTTTATTTTAACTAGATGTGTTGATTTGTGATGTTTTTGTTTTGGAAGATTTTTGATAATTATTATATCGATTATATATTTTATACTGTCAATAATTTTTTTATATTGTGTACAACCAGAACATTTATTAGCTAAATGTGATTTCTTAATTCCTCTTCATCAGTGCATAGAACAATATTTACATCGAATAGGATAATCTTCCTCAAGGCTAACCACCAAATTAAATTTTTATTTATTGAAGAAGAAACTGAATACCATATTTGCGTGTAATAACACCCCCTGCACGTTATTTTGGACCCCTGTGCGTTATTTTGAAATGCGCATGCGCCTTATTTTGAGTCAAAATGTCATTTTTTTTGAAATCTTGTACCAGTATTCGTAATTGGTTTCCGATCAGCGACAAACACTCAAAGACATCGAATGTACTTCAACAAGCTTATTTTACAGATGATTAATTGGCTGTTTGAATTATAATTTTGTTTAACGTTCCCTTACGAAGCTTAAGTGTGGTGGGGATTGGCCTGTTTAATTTTAGGGGAGCTCTTGGAAGCGGAGGGGAGAGAACATTAAATAAAACTATAATTTTGAACAGCCTAAGTTCATTTCATAGACAGTATATTTCCTGACAGCCTATTTCATCGACAAGTAATTCTAATTAATGTCATTAGAGTTAGGTTTAAAATTAGGTTAAGATTAAAGCAATTATAAAAAAAGAACTTGCGAAATGGGCTGTTGATAAATATACTGTCTACAAAGTGAAATTGTCTGTAAATTAATCATTTGTGAATAAGCTTGTCAGTGAAGTTAGTTTGGTAAATGTAGTATTTGAAGTGATTGTGGTGAAATGATATGAACCCACTATAAACACTATACTGCAGTATATAAGGTGGGTGTACGTTATTTCGGGATGCGCATGGGTGCTATTTTGAGCAAAAAAGCTCAATTTTTTAAAAAATCAAAATCTAAATTAATGCCCCAGCCTGCTATTACGCGCAAATACAGTAATCATTAATATTTCTTGTAGTAATTGTTTTATTATTAGTATTATTTCACATGTTTAAAAAGTAAATTATTTGTTTTAATGATAGTTCTATTTTATAATAATTTATATCATTCAAAAGTTTAATATTGATTAATATTTTTATCTTTAATTATAATAGTTATTATCATTTTCTACTTAACAATTTTTTATCTATGATATATATATTAAATCAGTTTTATCATATAATAAACTACAGTAAAATCATAGTGCCATTAAAAGGTTATGTTGGCATCATTGTATGTTTTACATGATGAATATAAAAAATTTATAAATTGATGCAAATTTTTCATTGTGATTTTTTATTTTTTTTGATTATATAATATATTTAATTTTTATGATTGCTTTATTTATACAAAAAACTTTATAATATAATTAATATTTTATTACAGGTTATATAATTTTATGATCTGAACATATAATTTTGTTTTACCAATTTACATAATTTTAAATTTAATAAAAACTTAGGTTGATTTAGAATCAATCTAAATTGTGAAATGACAATAAATATTGACCTTTTTTTTTATGTAAAAAATTTTTTTTATGTTTTAATGTGTTGCATAATATACAACCAAAAGTAATGCAACATGTCAAATGAAATAAAGCTTGTGTTAATAAAAATTTAGGATCATTTATTTTTTTAAATTTTTAATATATGAAATCTATAATAATTACAAATAAATTAAAAAAAAAAGATATGTCTAGAATTGCTCAAAATAACATGATCTAAGTAAAAAATTTTTTACTCCATTACTCATGATTACTACTGATATAAAAAGTTAACTCTAATGCTAATGGAAAATATTTGTGATAGTGGGTACTGTAATTGATATATGAGTGTCGCTATATGAGAATTCATAATTCTAAAAATAATTAAGTTTTATAATTATCAATTTTTATAATTATGGGGTTTCATTGCAACATTTGTATTTTGATAAAAGAAGCTAACCAATTAAAAAAATATCTTAACATCTTATATAAAATGATTGTAGCATTCTAACATATTATTGTAATATTGTACAGTACATATTCTTGT